TACAAGGCTACATCCTGTTGCTGTGAGTCACTGTCCCTCACTCCCTCTCTGAGCGCAAACATTCATGTAGGAAATTTTGCTTGAGTGGACTGTCCATCGGCACCCTGCTCCAGATCTACCACAGCACCAGGAAAAAACACACCAGCCAGGCAACAGGATGCACATGGCCCCGCGAAGGATAACTGGAGTGGGCAGGAAATGGAGAAAGAAGAGGAGGAAGAGGATTTGGGATCACAGCTGTGTGCACTGTAAAGAAAAAAGAAAAAATGGTGTTGGAAGCACAGGGAGATACAGGCTGTTGTTCTTTCCCATCGGTAACAGTGAGGCGGAAGACATGGTTGAAATGGGGACAGACATTGTTACAGATATACTGCTCACATTGAAGGATTTATTAAATACCAGTCCAAAAAATATTAAACATGGAGGAAAGAGGGTTAGAAAAAAAGCACACCACAACACCCATACAAAACTAGTGGACAAGGCTTATAACATTAAAAGCTGGACATGTAAAACTCCCTAAGTACAAAAGCCTACATACTTCCAGTGGTACATTTTAAGAATAACTCTAAACATTGATCAACAGAACAGAACTTCTCTGGTTTGCCAATATTTGATTGGGCATTAACAGTTAGGTAGAGTATTTGACATCTATCTTTGTGAAGATGTTTTAGGATGTTCCACAGAATGGCTTAAAACCATAGACTGTAAATATAAATGGACATAGCTGATTCGCTAACTGCCGCATTCCAAATAGGAACTAAGGCATGGAGCTCCATTCCAGCTCCATCCTCTTTGGCTCCAATTTACTTTATTGAAAAACTGTGACCCCTCTCTCTGTGACTGGTATCCTGGTATTTTAATTCACAATTTTGTCTGTAAATTAAAATATGAACAGTAATAACAGACAAATCAGGCACCTTCTTTCACTGAGGTCATTCCCTCTAGTGTTAGCAACATGTTTGATTGACAGCATTGCTAAGCACCCGCTCTATCTTCAAGAGCCTCGCCTTGATTGGCTCTATAACCTCAGGCCTCGATGAACTTCATTAGACTGGAGAAAAGGCTATGGGGGGACATCACACTCCCTTAGTTTACTTCAGTCTATACCAGGCATGTCCAAACTATGGCCCAGGGGCCAAATGCGGCCCTCAGGCTTCCAGGCAAAATGGCCCAAATTACATTGCATCAAATAAAAATATATTTTTTTACTGCAAGTTTTCTGAAAATCTACCTTGATAAAGCTAATATTTAATATTTAGTGTGTGGTTTTAAGGATCTAAGCATGAATAAAGACTGATGGTTCATTCTAATGCACATATTTCAATTATTCCTTGTACTGAGCGCCTCGATCGGCCCTCTGCTTCATCTGTGTTTAGATATGTGGCCCTTGATGAAAAAAGTTTGGGCACCCCTGGTCTATACAGTCTATGCCTAAAACTTGTCAGTGTCCATAGAGACAAGCAGGTGACTTGACATATTTTTCTTTTCTCTCTCTTTCTTCTAAAAACGCCTGTAAATGATTATACTGCAGAACTTTAGAGGCAACACAATAACAGTTCCTTGAGACAATCAGGTGATGTACCCACATCAGAAAACATACATAGTTTACCTTTAATCCAAAAGTGAGCTCCTTTAAACCTCTTTCAGTGTAATAGGTCTTGTCATCAAGTGTTCCAGCAGTAATGTCCAAACTCAAGTTTACAGTTGGTCAAATACACAAAACCTTTGACAAACAATAGTGGAGTTTGTTCTGTGATGGTTCATTAACACCAGGACCTGAAGCTGACGTCAGAGGAGCACCGGACATGCCACTGAGTGAACTGATTAATACAATTTAACTATTCGCTAACATGGTGGAAAAATGACAATGTGATTTCAGTTAAAAATTAAACTTAAGTTTTGCAGTGAAGAGGAAAAAGAAAAAAAATCCATACGACCATAAACCTCTGAAGTTATCGGAACAGTTGTCTTTCCATGGCTTCCGTGCCAGACTGTTTGCTTTATTGGAGTGTAAAGAAAGTATAAGGATAGATTTGTCTCCATGGAAATATTCACAGTAACACTGCCAATAGCAAAGCTTAAAACTAACATTACAGTCAATGTACCCAAAGTAGTCAATTTTAGATTCATCACGTCTCCTTAAACATGCCTCTGGACAGAGGGCGGAGGTCACAGAGAGCCCTCGGTAAGATAAGCAGCATAAGTAGAATCCACTGAGGGATATAATGCATCCAAATGGGCAGGGGCAGTCCTAGGCACGGGCCGACAGGGCACCCACCCGGGGCGGCATTTCGGCAACCTCCTGGTTGTTGGCGAAGAGAGAAGGATTTTTTTAGGTCCCGGGAGTGGGGCCCAGGAGGGGTTCTTACCCGGGGAGTAAATCAGTATAGAAAAGCCTCTTCAAATGGGGCACGTATGTGTTGACAATATTTATTCATCAATCAACTATTCACATTTCTGTTGTTACGTGTTTTCCAAACTTTCTACTCATGAGGTCCGGTTTCCTAGTTTTACACACCATTTTCGAAAAAATTATAATATTTGAGTTGAATTGTCAGCATTTCCTATTTTTATCTCTCTGAAACTCATGGATGTTACAAATATGGAATTTATTATTTGCTGACTATTTTTGGTGGGAATGGCCGAAAATAGCCAATTAGCCTAAAGGCTACAATAGGCAAGGCAAGGCAAGTTTATTTGTATAGCACAATTCGTACACAAAGTAATTCAAAGTGCTTTACAGAATAAGAAATACATTAAAATCATAATAAAAACAAATCAAAACATATTAAAATTAAAAAAGAGAGACATAAATTGGAGAGAAGAGTGCGGAATGAAATGAAAACCTTTCAGTTATATGCACAGTTAAACAGAAATGTTTTGAGCCTGGATTTAAACAGCATCACAGAAGAGTCTGTCTCACATGTTCAGGAAGACTGTTCCAGGTTTTAGCTGCATGAACCTGAAAAGCTGACCCCCCTTGTTTAGTCCTGACTCTGGGCACCAGCAGGAGGCCGGTCCCTGAGCTCCTCAGAGTGCGAGATGGTTCATATGACACTAACATGTCACAGATGTACTTTGGTGCTCGGCCATGGAGAGACTTGTACACAAGCAGAGCTGCTTTAAAGTCTATTCTCTGAGGCACAGGAAGCCAGTGCAGAGACCTGAGCACAGGACCTATGTGCTCGTACTTCCTAGTTCGAGTCAGGACCCGAGCTGCAGCGTTCTGGATGTTCTGCAGCTGTCTCACAGCTCGTTTGGAGAGACCAGTGAGCAGACCATTACAGTATCTAACCTACTGGAGACAAACGCATGGATAAGTTTCTCCAAGTCTGATTTAGACAGTAAACCTTTGATTTTTGCTATGTTTTTTAGATGGTAAAAGGCTGCAGATGTTATTGATTTGATGTGGCTGTTAAAGTTCAAGTCTGAGTCCATTATTACCCCTAGATTTCTTGCCTGATTTGAAGGTTTTAGAGAGAGAGACTGGAGGTGACTGCTGACACTGTCCCTTTGTTTCTGTGGACCAAACACTATGACTTCAGTCTTGTCAGAGTTTAGCTGGAGAAAGTTGTTTTGCATCCACACACTGATCTGTTGGATGCAGTGACCAAGTGAGTCCACTGGTCCATAGTCTCCTGCTGCCAGAGAGACGTAGATCTGAGTGTCATCTGCATAACTGGGCAGGACACGTTATTGCTGCTTATTAACTGGCCTAATGGCAGCATGTAGAGATTGAACAACAGGGGGCCCCGAATTGACCCCTGAGGCACCCCACAGGTCAGGGCCATGTGATCTGAGACACAGTTTCCAATTTCAACAAAATACTTCCTGTCTTCTAGATAGGACTTGAACCATTTTAGTACAGTACAATACACAGTTTAGTACAGTTTAGTACAGTACAATACTCATCACCTCAAACAAGAACGAACAGTAGGGAAACCATGAAAATAATATATCATAATTACTGTATGTTTGGCTGACATGACATTTAAATGTATTTGGAAAAACAAATGTTGCAACACAGTAGATGTCTTTCTCTGTCCAAAGCGTGTGACCCAAAGATGCTCTCGCTCCCAGCTTATCACACTAAATATCAATACAGTTAAATCTCTGAGGAGCAGATGGCTATAATTACAACCGCCTAAACTCCACCCAGAGCCTCTGTCTTTGTGCAAATGTATCTGTGTTCAGTTTGTCCCAGTCAGCTGACAAAGAACTACTCGATATGAAGGCATTTAGGACATCAGCTTGTCATATTTACATGTAACTGGAAGCACTAATATGGATTCATATAGATAGCTTTAAATTATGCCTTATTTGACACAGGTTTCTTGCAATTTTCCCTACATATTTAGAGTGTATTTATCGCCATTGTTTGTTTGTTTTGTTTTTTTTCCTCTTTGTTATTATAATATATTGCGATGTGTGAGCTGCTGTGTCCAAATAATTCCCCTTGTGGATCGATAAATATCAAAGACTTAATAAAACAATAAAAATTTGCCTTTGTCCGTCATTGGACCTTGTACATTATTTCACCAGTGTCTTTACGCACCCTATTGTTTTTATGGCATGATTATGGAGTAATGTTTTATAGGCTTACCAGAATCCATCCTGTGTATTATATAATTTATCTGATCCATAATACGCACGCAGTTAATCACTCATTAGTCAAAACTCGTAACACTAGACTATTTGATAGGCATACTTGAAACATGTTCTAGTCTAGCCTAGTTGTTATCTTAAATAAATACTTGGGCAATGTGTTTTTAAGTAGCACCCAGTACTTCACAAGATAAACATTACTTGAGATTTTGATTACAATATGTTTGGATGGTTTGATCACTGCCTTGAAACCAGTTTACGAAAGGGCATTACATTTATTTCCAGTAAATCTGGTGCAACATCGTCTCCTGTCATTTAATCACGCTAACCACACAAAAGAACACAATAAGTCTTTGTCTTAGCCATATAACTGTCAGATAAAGGTGATCCACGGTATAGTGTCGGGCAAAGGACGCGCGCCAATATCCATCCACCTCCTCCCTACGTGGTCTACGTAAGAGCCCCTCTGCTTTAAAGCGGGGACTGTTCGCAGAACGGTCACCACATCTTAGCAGCTCTCAGTACACGTCTACGCGTCTTGCACATTTTTAACAAGCAATTTTATCTAAACGTTTGATTGTAATACCAATATACTCAACGTACGACCGACATTTACGCAACATTTTTTTATTTTTATTTTTTTTTATTGGAGCTAAGACCTTTCTTTGGAGCTCTTCCCGACGCACTTTACAGAAAGCAAAATGTAAGTAGCCAATCATAAACTTTGAAAATGTTTGCTATTTAGCGTGTTCTAACGGTATCAATACAAAATGTAAGGCTTAGTATACTTTTACGCATAAAATAAATAGACCATTCCACACAGCCTATTTTAATATAAACTTGTTAATTGTGAAAGTGGGATTTTTGTTAAAATTTGGAGAGCGATCCTAGTGACTATTTTAAAACATTGTTGACCTAACCTCACTTCACAATTAGGATAAAACTCGCTGTCTTGTGGTAGAAAGCGAGCTAACATGGGAGTGCCCCAGGGGTCGCGGAGGAACGAGCCCCAGCATGATACGATGCTAACGTGAGGGTCTGAAGTGTAGAGGCTCACATCACGAGAAAAAATGTGTTTGGAAGTAGGCTTAGTTATGCTGAACCACAAACTTTTATTAGGACACTTATTACCACACTTCAATTACGCACACAACACTTACGCATAGACGCTTATCTCTCATCATATCTCCTTATGTTTTTCCCCAAGGCTTTTTTGAATTATCTCTCCATTGTTGTGAATAGAAACGTTTGAGGAATAGCTATAGTGGTTACAGTTTGTTATCTCTTTCCACTTTATGTTGAAACTATTCCCTCAAGGCTAAGGATAAAAGAATAGATTGTAACTCTTAATTAAACTTGTTTGTGAGTGAGGTTTTCTACATGTCTGGAATTTATATTATGTATCTTCCCTTATAGGATGAACAACCGGGACCGCTGGAGGGTGTACAAAAGGGTGAGCCTCATGTTCATCTTTGCTGTGCTGGCACTGACTGTTGTCCAGCTCGGAAGCATCAATATGGGTGCTCCCTTTGAACTAGAGAGACAGGCCCGTATGCAATCAACTGCTGACTACGATGAGAAACAGGACAACAGCTTTAAGACATTCTGGAAGTCAAGCAAGCCAGCACCTACAGAGAGTACCACTGTTACGCATGACAACCGACTAACCACCTGGGATATCGCAAGCACCAACTGTAGTGCAAATCATAACCTGTCAGGCCAAGAGTGGTTCAAGGGGTTAGAGGCAAACTTCAAACAGTTCCTGCTTTACCGGCATTGTAGATATTTTCCGATGACTCTCAACCACCCAGAAAAATGCTCAGGAGACATCTATCTACTTATGGTCATCAAATCAGTTGCTACCGAGCACGACCGCAGAGAGGTGATCCGTAAAACATGGGGAAAGGAGCAGGTGGTGGATGGAAAGCGAATCAAAACAGTTTTCCTTCTCGGTAAATCTTCAAATGAGGCAGAGCGGGCCAACCATCAGAAGCTCTTGGAGTATGAGGACTACATCTACGGTGACATCCTCCAGTGGGACTTTCTGGATAGCTTCTTCAACCTGACCCTGAAAGAAATCCACTTCCTAAAATGGTTCCACACTTACTGCCCAAATGTGCGCTATGTTTTCAAAGGCGATGATGATGTTTTTGTGAGTGTTCAGAATATTTTTGAGTATCTTGAAATGAGCAGCCAGGTGAAAGATATGTTTGTTGGGGATGTGATTTTCAAAGCTAAGCCCATTCGCAAAAAGGAGAACAAATACTACATCCCCCATGCTTTGTACAACAAGAGCTTCTACCCGCCGTATGCAGGCGGTGGGGGGTTCCTGATGGATGGGCCCCTGGTTAAGAGGCTTCATGTTGCGGCAGATACCTTGGAGCTCTATCCCATTGATGACGTGTTTCTGGGCATGTGCCTGGAGGTGCTTAAGGTTACGCCCACCAAGCACAATGCCTTTAAGACGTTTGGCTTGGTGAAAAATAAAAGCAGCAAGTTGAACAGAGAACCTTGTTTGTTTAAAAGCATGATTGTAGTGCACAAGCTGCTACCCACGGACCTAATTCGCATGTGGAATCTGGTTAATAGTGATCTGGTATGTTCCAAGAAGGCACAAATGCTATAGCTTTACGAGAACATTCGGACTTGAGATAGAACTGCTCCTTTGATTATGTGGACAAATATGACATATCAAACTGCTGTCTAAGTGGACTACCTGAAGGAGCTCATAAGTAAATTATGAACTTTTATTAGTATTTTTATTGGCAATTGAAGGACTTTTAATTAATTTTATAGGTGGATTTGTAAGGAGAACAAACTACAGTAGCTGCTTATCCAGTTGCGTGACACTGGACTTTTTTGGGTTAATGTTTTTGATAAGCCTCCACCCTGTTCCATCCGGAATTTCCAAATACTTTAATATTTAAGTTCTTAAGGTTTTTTTTTTTCTTTTCTATCCTCTGACAAACTACTGTAGACTTGCAGTTAACAAAAAAAAAAACCCAAAACAAAAAAAAAAAAAAAAACAGCCCGCATGAATCCAACAATGTGAATCTGTGATAATCTATCCTTCGGTCAAATGGTACAGAAACCATTCATGCATTACTTTTATGTGTCGGTTTGTTGATGTTCTGACCTGAGGGAAATTTCTTGTTTCCTTTCAATAATAACATAATTTTAGACTGTGCCAATCAGTTTTGTTCAGTGAAACATATTGCAATTAATAAGGGAGAAAACAGTCTACCTCAATGCAGTAGTAGAAATGAAAGATCTTAAGTGTTGGAACATTACAGGTTTCAAATGCATTAATGGTGGCTTTTTTAAATAATAGAGATTCTTGCACTTGTTTTTAAATTGAATTGGACTGGACTACTGCCTTTTTATGTTTATGTCTGTGTGTATGTGCTAAAATACTTGACATGTATTTGGTAGTGGGTTTACCATTAACACTGTGAACTGTTGATTGCTGGTACGAGATAATTTAATTACAAGAGGCCAATATAGAATAAGATAATAGAGATTATGTGATTTTTTTATTTTTTAGAATGGGTGGTGATTATGTCTTCAGAGTTTATGTAAAAATGTACATATTTGTAAATAAATGTCTTAAACCTTTAGTCTCTCTCTATGCACAGACCATACTATAATATTCTGTACAGTAGTTGCATGTCCTAGATCTGTTCCTTATCTGTTTGTGCATCAATGTGAACATCAGTTTCAGGTCAAACAACAATAGTGAACATTTTGACGGGTATCGGTTACTATGAGGATAACATACATGCACACATATGCCAGAAATAATGAGATAGAAAAAACAACAACAAAGAAACAAGCCACCTGATCATAACTGTGATATATTAAGTATCTGAATTCTCTGCTCATCATATTATGTTTTGTGGTGGTTTTAGCAGGATTGTCCATGTAAATGCATGTGAAAGAGTCTACATGTATTTACATGTGTTTTGCATTTTACAGTGTGTGGCAGCTAATGTTGAAGCTTGTGTATTCACATGGCAGACTAGAGATGGGGCAGATACAGCCATGCATCTAACAGTGGACATATTGTTGAGTGGTTTAACTTGGCTCAAGAAGACAAAGCTGAATAACAAAACAAAAGAAATGCTTTCCTGTTGTTCTCTGTTTCTTATGGGACAAAGTGAGAAAAAGCCATAGAAACTGGATAGTCTGTATATTGTATTCCTTGTAGTGTACACTCTCGAAAACAGGAACCTTTTAATCTCTTAATACAGCTTTTATCTCTAGCAAAACTACAAAGCGTGAGTCAAATGGTGTCAGATTATTAAGCATTATTTCTGTGCTTTATATTGTGACAGTGATCAAGTGGATGATCTTGGCAAAACTGTCAAAGCAAATAAATACTACTCCAATTTATGAGGGAATATTTTGTTGATATTGATGATAATGCCTCAGTAAGGAGCACTTGTGTTCTTAAGAACACAACAACAGTGTTCTGACAGGCCAAGTTCTGTTGTTGTGTCCTTAGGCAAGACCCTTCATCCACCTTGTTTATGTAATAATGTGGTATGAGAGTGAGTGATTGGCTAGTGGCACAGACTCTCAGCCTTGCATCCCTGTTGTTAAGGAGACAGCTTTACATGGAAAATAGACGAAGATTAGGAAGACTGGAAAAAAAAAAAAATTCAATCTAGTATTTCTAAATTTGTTAACATACAAATACTAGTATAGTAATGATTAACACTGGAATACCAAGGATGGCTGTATGACAAAGCATAAGCATAAGTTTCCCGGGAGGACAGAGGCACCAGCTAACATTTACCAACATGCAGTGTAAATGTCCCACTGTGGTGTGGATCTGTGCCTGTATGCTCATAACCTGCCAGTGGATAGGCAACTGCACCTTTGTTGACACTAATTGGGGTGGCTTTTGATGTCAAAGCTGTCAATGGGTTGGCAGAAGGGGCTGTAGGCTTTCACACTAACCCTCCATTTTCTTCAAAGCCCTCTAAGGACCATTGCTGGCATGGCTGGAGATGGGAATGTTGTAAGGCTCAAATTAAAAAGAGCATTCCTTGACTGGTGACATGAGAACAGGACAAGAGAATATGTGGTTTGAAGACTAATTGTTCCAAAGTTTCCAATGTCTCTGGCTCAAGAATGTACAGCAGCATCATATGTTTGATATGTTTTGTGAATGGAGAATAGTCATGTAGTTATGCATTTAAAATGCACTAAAGATTGGAAAAAGACACATTATACAGCAATCAATACACAGTGATTGTTTAAGTATGACCTAAAAAATCATCTGCTTGTCACCATGGAGATTTGCTTTGCCTGGAATATTCCACAGTATGGTATTAAACATAACCTTTTATTTTGTATTCTTATTCCAAAAAATAACAAAAACATGCATTCTCTATGAGCCGAATGCCTCTCCAGAGATCTGACTGGTAACTTGGCCTGGTGGTGTCACCTGTTTGTCTCCATGCCATAGAGTGGAACATTCCAGGCAAAGGAAAAACATCATCATGGAAATACACAGGGGCCTTACTTACAACAGCACCTTTAAGCGAAAACCTTACATTTTCACAAAGAATTTTATCATATATATTTTCTTCAAAGTGATCAACCACTTTTAATCCAATGTATCTGTCTACTAAACAATTGTCTGCAAATAATTAAAATCTTACTCACTGTGCTCCTTTTCTCTTATATCAATGAATAGGTCTGAGGCAAAGTGGCTTAGAACATTGTGTGCTATAGGACACCGGGTCCCCACAAAGATCCATTGTGAAGAGGACTCCGAGAAGTATGCTTGTATTTAAAAGAGGCACTATTTACACTACACAACAGAAAAGAGATTAGAAAACAAGTATCCATCACTGCCATTGTCTTTAAAATATATCATATTAACCATGTTCTATGCATGTTATAGAATTATGGAATATTTTACAAAATTGTAAGTTAAATACTTAAAGCAAAATCTTACTTGTATGAGCAGCCTTCGGAAAGCAAGTTAGCAGTCTTACAGACTGGTTATTCTGAACATGTACTGGACTGCACATCTTTAAAAAACAGACCCGGCTCCTGCAACAGCAGCAATGTCACCATGTGTAAACTGTGAGTGTAAGAGAATGGACAGCATGGGAGAGGGGGATGAGAAAGAGTGAAATGTGAGAGTTTGGGATATTTTGATATTTGACACATTCACTGTATTTATTGCTTTTTCATCCAACAATCCCACCTTGGGGGGCAGTGTTAAAGGCCTTCTGGGGACTGATGCGAATTAGCCTTGGCTGTTAACACTGATAACTGCATCAGATTACCGAATTGTTAAATAAAATGCCACCCAGCTCAGACCAGTCCCTACTAAATCTTTAATGGTAATGTTGCATTCAGTAGCTTCACATTCAAACTGAATTTAACAGTTGTTTGTACACCTCAAATTTTGTGAGGCTATCGCACTGTGCTCGTTTGATGTTCTCAAATACTTGTATCATTAAGTGATGCTGCCATCTAGTGGAAGTTACTCGTAATGAACAGCTCATTCTCACCTCAAGGTAACCTACATATGAATAAGTACGTTCTAGTCAGGTGAAGTCACAACCAAGTGCAAATCCCAGCCATTTATTTAGGATTCTGTGGCTCAAAACTTACAGCATCTTGACAAAATGCTGGATCCCATTTGTTCATTTGAATAAACGCAATACATTAGACAACACATTTTAAAAATCACCTACTGGGATTTATTTTCATTAGGCGTAATTAGTCGATGCACTACAAATATTGTGGGAAGAATTCTGACTCACCGACTGCGTCCCATCCCACAGATGGAACAGCACAATGCACATTACTCACTTACCACACAGCCTCATATTTATCAAAATATGCTTTACACAGTACAAGTAAAACTTGACACCTAAAGCAAACTAAAGACAATAAGAACAAAACATGGATACAATTGTATCATTTACAAAATGTAAAATGAAATAAACATTTTTTACATGAATTTGACAAAATGCTTTTCACAGCAAACCATACATTTCATCCATTGAGAGAATAGGGTTGGATGGGGCAAGTTTGCTGCAGGGACATTCAGTACTCAAATTGAGTACAAGACAAGAGTACCTTACTGGCACAGAGCAGGATGGTGTTGTGGGGTATACAATATAGGCCTAAAATGCCCATTAAAGTTAAATAACATGGATGATGCTTTCTGGAATGTCCAAAAGCTCTGAAAACGATGAAACCAGAGTCCATTCAAAAGTAAAAAAAAGTTTGATGACCAAGTCATTTAGTCATCAAACTTTATCTTCTTTCCCTGTGGTTTGGCAAATCCACCACCACCTCTTCCACCTGGGGGGGGGGAAGGAAGAAGAGTATTTAAAAACACTTAATTGGCAATTTTTAAATGTTTCCATCAATTAAACTGAAACGTACCTCCAAATCCTCCTCGTCCACCCCTTCCTCCTCCACGTCCACCGAAGCCACCTCTGCCTCCCCTGCCTCCTCCGCCACGACCACCGAACCCCCCGAAACCACCTCTGCCTCCCCCACGGCCGCCCCCTCGGCCCCCACGGAATCCACCGTCACCCTTGGGCTTGGCATAGTCCAAAGTTACTTTGTTTCCATCGATCTCTCCATCATCCATGGCCTCCTTCGCCGCTTTGCAGTCACTCTCATTGTCAAAGTCCACAAAGCCAAAACTAAAAACAGTATCAACAATTGACTTCAATGTTCAGATATGGCAAAAGGGTAGATTACCAGATAACCAAGTTCACACACACACAATACAACTTTAACCTACCATTTTGATGCCCCCGTTTCGCGATCCGTCACTATCCTGGCCCCAACTGCACCTTCAAATGCCTCCCTGAGTGACTGGTCTGTTGTGTCCTCTGAAAGACCCTTTACAAACAGGGTCTTTGTTGGACCTTTAGGGGACATAAAGCAATGTTAAAAAAAAAAAACAATTCCAGTGTTTGTTGAAATCTAACTATAGCAATATCCAGATCAGGACTTGACTATCTTAGAATTCTTCAGTCAAATATCAGAAGTCAATTTTTCATCACATCTGGTATTTTCAATGTGTTTAAAAAAAAAAAAAAAAAAAAAAAAAAAATTACCTGAATTCCCTCGGCCTCCATCACCTCTAGAGTTTGAGCTGTACTCCAGCCTAATCGACCGGCCATCAATCTCGGTGTTGTTCAGGTTTTCAAGAGCCTCCTTGGCATCATCTGTGCTGTCAAATTCGATGAAGGCAAATCTAAGAAAAAACAAAAAATTAACAAGGCTGCCACAACATTACTGAAGTCTTGCTAACATTTAATGTGTTGTTGCACATCAGACATAGGCAACATCCACAAGAATGAACCCGTTTAACTGTGCATTAACTCTTCTTCTCGTGCGAATCCACAAAATCATTGGAAGATTAAGAGGAGCTCATGAGAAGGCAAATTGTAAATGACCAGTTAGTAAAAATGTACGAAATTATGACCTTACCCTTTAGGCCTTCCATTATTTTGAGGGATTCTTATTGACACTGCCTTTTCAAATGTGGACTGCAAGGTTTCTTCTGAGGCACTGAAGGCCAGATTGTTTACCACCAGCGTTTTACAGGCTGCTGCAGGTGCAGCTCCTACATGAACAACAAGTCATCAATAACCATTGCTAAGACGAGTCATTCAAACTTCCAATGAACACTCACCTCCCATTCTGCCTCCTTTTTGTTGGCTTTTCTCTCCAACAAAGTCAACAATGATGGCTCTTCCCTGAATATCTGTTCCCTGGGCTTGTTCTAGCATCTTCTCAGCTTCTGCTTCAGATTTGAATTCTATGTATGCAATGCTGTTGGAAAATACAACATTAAGTGCTTTCAATGTGATTACATGGATTAAAGTAAAATTATGAGTTTGCCTTACCCTCTGTTGGAACCGTTCTGTCCTTGGGGTAACCGAACATCTACGGCATCTTCAAAGACTTCTTTAAGTTCATCAACCGTTACAGAGAAGGAAAGGTTCTTCACAAATAAGGTGCGGGTGTCCCTTTCTGAAACAATGAATATGACCAGCGTTAATATTACTCTACGAGTACATAGTCATTTCATTTGTCTTTCCACTCCTTACCTTTCCTCCCCTCCTGTGAATTCTCTTTACTCCGGGCTCTGTCCAGCTTCATTTCCTGGCCCATAAACTTCTTGCCATTGAGCTCCAGTGCCTTCTGCAAATCCTCTTCACAAGAGAAGTCAACATACCCAAATTTCCTAAGATAAAAAGGGGGAATTTACCATTATTTCATAAGTATGACCAATGACAAGTTATGGGAAAAAAAAAACTACTTACTTTGATCCTCCTAACCGAACATCAACAACTTCCAACTCATTTTTCGAAAAGAATTTCCTAAGCAAAGACTTAATCTCATCAAAGTCTTTGTTTGTATTAAGGTTTCCTACAAATAGACAAAATCCTGGGGGAAGCAAACATAACATTAGATTGATCATCTTTGACCATTCCTGCACATGTTATACAGTAGCAAAATTCAGAAAGTATAAGGTGACATCATGTATCAGTATTAAGTCCCTTGTGATCATCATTATTTAACAATTGAAGATAAAAAGTAGTTCTATATATCCATACCTTCTCCTTCGGTTTTTGCCTTCTTGGCAGGTGGAGTTTCCTTTTTGGCTTCTGCCTTCCTCTTTGCAGGAGTCACTGGAGCTGAAGAAAATGATGATTACCAAACAATGCATAAAATATAAATATTCTATCCAATTGTCCTAAACCTCATACCTTCTTCCTCCTCGTCGTCATCATCGTCTTCCTCATCATCGTCGTCGTCCTCTTCATCTTCCGACTCCTCCTTTGCCTTCACCATGCCCGCCTTTTTAGCCTTGGCAGGGGCTGGTGTTGTGTCCATTTCTTCCTCAGATTCTGAAAAACAATTTTAATGTTGAAAACCTTCATCTTAATTACAACCAAGATGCAACCTTTGTGGTCCCCACCATCTTCATCATCATCATCTTCGTCATCATCTTCTGAAGATTCCTCTTTTGTGGCTGCGGCCTTGGCTTTTGCTGCAGGTTTAGCTGCAACTTTAGCAGCAGGGGCCTTCTTCACTGGCATCTCTTCTTCTGAATCCTCGTCATCATCATCATCATCAGATGATTCTTCAGCTGCTGGAGCTTTGGCTGGGGCCTTGGCGGCAGGTTTAGCAGCAGGTTTAGCAGGGACTTTCTTGGGGGGTGGCACCTCCTCTTCTGAGTCATCATCATCTGAAAGCACCAAGATCCATTTCAAATATGAGACTTGCCCCGAGACCCTTTGAACATTGCAGAGGAGCCACAGTTCAGTCTGGGTGCAGTCTGAGCAAGGTGTAATCAGTTTTTTTTTTTTTTTTTTTTTTAAATGTTACAGCGATTGAGGATAGAACCGGCAGACATAATAACACACCGGCACCGAAGACATAGCACTGCATTTCATATTCCTCCATACATAACACGCATGAGTACTGCACAACTACATGCATGCCAAGAAAGAGAGGGTTCACACCAATACTACTCTGTAAAAGGCAACTGGGTCCTCACCATCATCGTCGTCATCGTCATCTGAATCTTGGGTCTTTTTTGGAGGAGCCTTGGCCGCAGCTTTGACTGGGGTGGCCTTTGCTGGGGGAGTTTCCTCTTCAGATTCTGCAGGATTAGAAAGGCATAACTATAAAGGCCAACTAAGAAATTCCTGTTGTTCAAGTCAGGGCAAATGAGCACAACATCGTTCACCAGACTGTAGGCAATGGCCACTGAGAAACTAAAAGTTTATTGCCAAGTGCTGCTACACAATAACTTAATATTTACTCAATGATCGCAAATGAAATAGCAGAAGAACATTCTTATTACCTGAATCATCATCATCGTCGTCGTCACTGCTTTCTGCCTTTTTAACAGCCTTGCCATTCTTGGCAGGTGTAGCCTTCGTAGGAATAGCTTTAGCAGGTGTAGCCTTTTTCACCTTTGGTGGAGGAGCCTGAAATGCATAACAAACAATAAAGAACCTGAAAAGATTTCAATGTATACAGGCATGTCGCAAGTATATACCTCTTCCTCCTCTTCACTGCTGTCTTCCTCACTGGACTCATCCTCCACTTGTTTGGGTGGCGGGGGTGCCTTTTTTTTCTGAGAGACTTGTTTATTTGCTGCCTGAAAAAATAAAGTATAATTTAAAATCACAGCTGACAAACAAAGGGATTAAAACTACCGATCACTGTAAGCAACATATGTCTAATATGTAATATTCCATCCGTGCGTGCCCACCTCGTGTGTCACACGCAAAACCCACGTGGGGCACAAGAGGTCCGCCTGTTAGCATAAAGCTAATCCGCTCATAACCATGCTAATATAAACGAAGAAATAAATACATAACCACGTTAATTTGAAGTTTCTTGCGGAATTGTGTTTGTGCAAGTTAACTGAGGAACGCATATAAGTTGCAATGTTTGAGCCTGCCATAGTGTGCATGGCATGTGTTGTGTGCTAATGCTAGCTAACGCACACATGTCGTGGCCACATGTTTATTCATGCAGAACACGAGGACATCTATATAGAAGGATGGAAAACATTTCAATTTGTTCAGTTATGGTGAACTTGGGCCACAGTAAACTGAAAAGCAATGGTTTCGGTCAAAATAGTGTCGATCGCGTTTATGCGAGCCATTTTGAGGTGTTAGCAGGCCCGCACGGCTGCCTGCACCACGACAGAACAAACATGGCTGCTGCAAACAGAAAAAGGGATTCACAAAAAGAATGGCGACGAATCTCTTCTCTTTTCGGTAAAAAGCTCAGGAGAACATGACACGTACACGGTAGAGATATTTTAGGCGATCTGCTGTGCAGTATGTTGTACACAATTAACGGGATACTGCCCCCAAATCTTTAAATACCAATACTTAATGTCATAAAGCGTTAAGATTTTAAAATAAGTGTATAAAATGTCCTTACCTTTGCTAGCTTCACCATGATGTCGTTGTGTTTCAAAGAAACACAAATAAGTACGAAAGAGGGGGCTGTGTAGATCTAGCACATGCACGTGGCTCAGCCTGCTCAGTGAGACATTGGACAGGAAAGACAGGGGGACAGAGACGGGCTGCTTGTGTCCCTGAGCTCTTCCACTGCGCCCGCCCACACGGGCCCAGCACCAATCACTGCTGCGCTTGCCTCGAGCAAACGCCCACTGCAAGCGCCATGGAATTTACTACTACAACAAGCATGTACTACTTCATGCGTTTCACTGGACTGGAGGGCTTTCATTTATATTAAAAGCAGTTCTCAGTTATGCAGGTCTACGCTATTACAAATCTAATCATAACTTGCAAAGAGATAGCATTTAGCAAAGAGTAGGCTATTGTATATGGCGTGATCTTGTAAAATAAACCAAAGGGTAGTAGAGTAAAAAGCCACCACATCGTGGCAGTATTGCCTCAGCTGTAGAGGGGCACTTTTTGCATTGCAAACATGAATCTACTAAGATTGCAAATCGTTCAACACTTCCCACTACGCCCCTCATAGTATGCGCTACCATACAAGCCTCAGACTGCAAAAAATATTATCTATTAGTATCTAATTTGTTTTGCGTTTTTAATCACTATAGATTTACTGCAACATAAGCTGACTACAACAGGTTATCATATCCTATTGAGTCTGGCGGTGTCCACAATCTTCATGAACGCTATATACAATGATTCCTCTGTTAAACAGGCGAACCAAATGCTGCTCAACAGGTGTGAGTTTAGTGTGCCCCACTCTGCCCTCTAGTGCCACCAGTTTGCAATTACAGTCCCCGTCAGTCTACAGTATAGACAGTATAAAGAAGTCATATATACAGTATAATCCACAGACGTGGTCAAAGTACTGCATTTCATTTCTTGAGAAGTAGCCTACAGTTTTAGCCAAATGTTACTCTGATACAAGCAAAAAGTTGCTCATTTGAATTATAAAATAGGCTATAGAAATAGTAATTAGCCCTTTGAGGCTTTTTAGAAATTGATTTATCTTTCAAATGTAATGTCAAAGAAAGCAACAAGCAAAAGTACAACTCAAGTTAAGTATGTCTACAGATCCCCTAAAACTGTACTAAAGTAGCCTACATAAAAAAATACATTTACTTTACTAAGCCCAGGGTTACAAAGAAAGAAAGAAAATCCTCAATGGAAATGTGAATTTTTGTTTCAAGTTTATAACTGAAATACACTATCCATTTGTGTCATGCGTGGTGACAAAATAGTTTCACCTACTGACTAAATCCAATAATTGCAGATACTAATTATATCATATCATATTTGACAATCTAAAGGGGAGTTTTGCCATATAATTCTTTCCAGCTCTTCACCTTAATTTTAAACTATAGACTATTATGTGAATGCAGCTTGTTCTCTGTAATGTATGATTATAATGGAGAACATTCTTTTGCAAGCCCATAAGATGATATTCCTTTTCTTTTATTTTCAAAACTAATCTGATCTGCGTAGGCTCCACATATTGATCTATAGTTAAATTCTTTGTTAAAATGGAGTTAAGTGTGCCATTATTATAGATTAAATAAATGTCCTAAAGGTTTGTGTTTATTACTGCTGTGTGAACAAGAACATGATTATGGCACAAGTCAGAGTTATTTTGATCTTAAATGTTTTCAAATAAAGAAACAAATAGACATAAAAAGAATTCTGTAAGTGCACATGGAATGTAATCTTTATCATTTTTTAAAACATTTACAACTATTTGAAACAAAAAAGTAACAAACAGAATTGACCTGCATTTTGTTTTTTCAAAATGTTACATAAATAAAACATATTTATAAATATCTCTTTTATAAACATATAAATAGTTTTTAAACATAAATACATTTATGCAGGAGGAGATGAAATACATGAATGTACAGCAGCAGCAGCAACAATATACAGCTTTGCATTCTGTCGTTTTTACACCATTGTCCATCATCGTGTACATTATATCTCTGTCGGGATGTGTTGACAAATGGATATAGTATCTGCATATACTGTTTATATGAGGGTTTCGGAGCGTCGTCATCTCAGTCTTTGTAGTTTCTGGTCACGGAGACTTTCGCACCGGAAGTCGGTCACATATTCAGATTTGTTTTTTATTCCTCAGGTGAGAACAAACTGCTGTAAGTTGTCCAAACCCATCGTCCACAGATCTGTAAGAAAACCATATAAAAAGTTGTTAGTCCCATTTTAAAAACAGAAGAATATTTAAGCTGTTGGGTACATTTAAAAGCGAGCAGGATATGGTCTGACCAGTGGCTGTATAACGAAGTGTGCCGTGATGAAAAACATTGACTCACAGAATTAGGACTAAGGACTTGACAGTTTGCCACAGCCACACACAGGCACGCATACAGGAGCCCATAGCTGCAGGACTAATTGTGCGTCACCTTAGCTTCCTAACTCCTGCTGCTTTGCCTTAAAATGTCTTTGGTAAAAGAGGTGGGCTTCCCAGAAAGATCTCCCACTGCCACAGCATGCTGCTTTGTTTTCGTGTGTGTCCCTCCTTCATCACACATTAGCTTTTAATCTTAAACTTGATACATCCTGTCTGCTCCCAGATGAGACAGATGCTGTTCTTAGCAAACTCCTATAAAGTGGACTTCTTCAAAGACCAAAGATACAGTACAGTTACTTTGTTTTGCTTACAGTTTTAGCGTTACTTTATCATCACTTGCAAATAGGAAATCATGTCACTGTCATTCATCATTCATTCATTCATATTACATCCCTGAGTGAATGACTTGTCAACAAAAAGGAAATTAGTGGAGAGTGTGTTATTGCTCATATGACTTCATCTTTGTTCCTGGTTCCTTTTTCTCCTTTTCCCTCCCACTCTATTCGCTCTCACTCAACAGGTCTCACAAAAAGTCTAACATTTTGAGGAAACTAAATTTGTATTTGATATGATTGCTTACTATTTCATTTTTATTTTCCTGATTTCATTCCTAAAATCGGACTTTCTTTGCTGATGTGTATGTGTATGTGTATTTACTTTATAATGGTATGTGTGTTCCAGATGCCTTACCTTCACAGCACCGCTCCGGTCCCTAGCATCCCATGCCACTTAGGGTTCCTATTCTGTCCATCTTATGTCCGAAGCAGCCACTCCTTGACGAAGAGCCGGCTTTTTTATTTCCTGATTTGTGCCTCCTGGGCACAGGGTGGTCATTAAGAAGCCGAGCCCACATCCCCCTGGCCCTGGTGTCCACGCGTAAATCACGCAGTAACCGTATCCGTGAGCGCACAGCCTCCAATTGCCTCTCTCTTTCCTCTGACTCCAGAAAGTCCGCAAGCTCCTCACCCAGCAAACTCCGAAGAGACTGGAAACATAAAAAGGAAACAACGTCTTAAAAACAATACAAACTTATACTAAAAGTATAAAAATCTAAATTAAGTTTATATATATCTATGTTGATAAAGTTAATTTCAAAACAAGCTGTGCGTCTCTCGATAGCACATCTCACAAGGCAGAGTCGAAGGCAGGTGCTTTGTGCTGCGTTATATGTACACTACAACTACCACCGATAAATGAAATAACATACAATACTATTATAAACATTTACTTTAGTTGTGTAGGCTGGCACAATTATGTGCGTTATTGTTCTTTTACGCATGGGCATGGGCATGTTTTAGCATAAGCATTCTACACGAAATCATTTTTAGCGTTTTGAAAATAAATGTTACATGAACAATACTTGTCTGACATTTTGTTAAATTTTTTTTTTAGCAAATTTTTTCGGCTGAAATTGTTGTTTGCCAAATGTTTTAGCTCTCTTTATCATTCTATGGTAACGCGCGCCCTTACTCTGATCCTAGCGATGAAAATTAGCCCTTACCTTTTGCTGCACTTGAGATAAAGGCTTTGCTCCAATCTTCATTGAAAGCAAAGTGACAATAAGTCCACATGCCACCAAGTAGGACACGTTCATTTTGGCGACTGGTGAGTTCTAGAGTGAATTGATTCCTCTGGGACGCAGTAGCCAATCAGCTGTTCGCCGTAGGAGGCTGAAATCCGTCGTTCACTCTTAGGCTCCTCAAGTGCTCCTCTAACTCAGTGTATTGGTTCGCAGTGCTTTATAGCCGACCCATGGTGATGTCATAACAACCTGCGTAATGGTGCGCTCCCTTTCGCACAATACCTGCCTCTGGGCGCGTCACGTCACGCGCAACTAAATGAGCCAAGCTTCTGCAGAAATTAGATGAGATCGTCCGACTTGCATCACACTTCAGACACTAAAAGATCAGAATGGCCTCTCAAAAAATATATATATTCGCCATGCCTCCATCTGTGCCAAGCCGGTTTCAGCAAAAGTAGCGGGGGGAAAAAGAGCAGAGATGATAGCGTAATCCTAAACTACTGAACTACTAAATGTCTCATACTATAAATATATATATAAATAATAAAAACTGTATTTTGTATTTCAAAAATAACTTTCACAATAATCTTAAACGGCATAATTCTTTTTCTCATATGCATGTTCATGGTTTGGGCTCTGGGCAGTTCGAGCGTACTTAGAAGCACTGTCTGCGCTGGGACACAGAGTGGCAGCATGTGCCAAAAAGAGAATCCAATGGACACGGGACATCAATCAGAGCGCATGGACCTGAACTGTCACAGATGTCATCAAGGACGTTTGCATGTAGTCAACAAAAAATAATGGCTTTAATATTTTATTAGTGTTTCATTTATTTCAAGACCAGATTTGCATCACTCATGATAAAACATAGGGTTGCCATGTCTATTTCCAAATAAATGTATGTATTAGCCTATGGATTTCAAGCTTCAATTGATCTGTTCTTTAAAATGTAAAAGCTGCAAGAGTTAATGACAGTGATGCCAGGCTTAAACGTCTCTGACCTCTAATAGTCCTGACGTTTTATGTTTTACAGAGCATTTTCTGCATCTTACGGCTTCTTTATATTTATGTTTTACAAGGATTTGACACATTCCTTTGTAATGCCACAAGTGTCACTAGTCTCTCTTGTTTTGTATTGTTTAATAAAGTTACACATTCTTTCCAGTGACTTCACACAAAGTTACAGAGCATCATCTGTTTTGCCTCTTTCTCCTTGTTTCTCTCCATGCCCTAATT